TGGGCGATATGGCAAAAAAGTAAAATCTTGATTTTATTTCCTGCTTTGCATGATTTTGATTTTAAATCATTTTTCATGAAAGTCACCAAAGACAGACTTTGCCCTTAATAATATCTTTTGATGTTTCCGCTCAATATTCAAGTTTCAAAACTATTTTTAATGTTTGTTTCCCCAATACGTATTATAAAAGTCTTGTACAGACTGTGCTGATATTGCAACTATAATTCATGTTGCTGGAACTCTCACAATATCCTTCATTCGATTTCACGATTTTCACTTTTTTCTCAAATTTAATTAATTGCCTATATTTGATTTATTGCCCAGCCCTAGTATATTCTACAATCATCTTCACCCTATTGCCACAAAACTAACTTTACACATCTTAACATGAACTTGTAATGAACAGGTGCTGGCCCTTAAAGACCAAACTAGTCTTGTCTTTAGCGGCAGTGAAAAATTATAACAACACAGTAATGGATCTTCTATTGATATCCCGCTCTGTCCTGGGTCTCTGTGGGATCAAGGCAGCATCTCATCAGCCTGTGTCTGCTGGACGTGGCCTGTTCTCTAGCGCCCCCTAGACATGTCAATACAAGTCTGATATTTGTACTTGGGAAAATGTGAAAGAAATTCTGAAAATCAACAGATCCATTTTAGCCAGGGCTGTAATGCCATTGAAGCACAGCCTTATGACCAATACAAAGTCTGCAACACTGACTTTTCTCATTTCTAAATCAGAACCTAATTGTTGGTATATTCTATTTCTCAGTCTTTGTAGAACGTGGCTGTGCAGCGGCTTTTGTTTCCTGTGTTTTAGATGCTCTCAAGGATACACGGTTACACCTACAGAGCTGAAATTTATATCACTGTGATTGCAAAGACTAAATGCAAAAAGGGAGCAAAAGGTGATACTATCTACCTAATTTGGCGTAACCTAAGCTGATGATTTTTTCTAATATCTAATACAATATACATATCCAAGTAAGAGCAAGTACCTATGTCTATACCAGTGAAAAATCATCAATAAATGAATACACAACCTCAATAAAAGAGAATACTTTTCCCCAAATGTTTGAATGATGCTCTATTGGAAAGATAATAAATTATAGTTTGTTATTATAATGTGAGAATAACACGATGAAAGCTCCTTGAATAGTTATAAATGTAGCACAAAATGTGTTTATCTGTGAAATGTGCAAGCTCCTCACAAAGCAAATATGTCACATCTTTAGCCCTCTACAGGCTTCAGTTTCTGCTTATTATTTATTTGGTTTTCACCCTTGAAGACATACACACAAAAGTCTCCCATTGCAATCAGCATTTTTTGCCAAATTATATTTTCATTCCATTGTACTTTTTGTTAATATAATGGATACCTCAAAACTGTTCCTCCTGCAACAAGCGACCTCGGCCTCTGGTTCCATGGCAAATAATGTCTTAGCTTCCTGTGCTTTTGACGATGTCTCAGGACCACACGCTCAACCTACGACCTGAAATTAAAGTGATAGTCTGGAACTCTAAATAAATTTAAAAAATTATGAATCGTATTAAAATGACCTCTTGGCCTTAAATGTTGATATAAAATAAGTCATTTTATGAATTCTAATATTACGGGTATGTCCCGCCTTCCCTTCTCTCAGCTATAGCTCAAAATCCACAATGCCGTCCACTTTAACCAATCAAGTGATGCCACGGGCTGTCAATCATCGCGCTTATGCTTAAAGCTGCGCGCATGCTCAGTTGTTTGTTTTCACGGAGCCTCCGAATCAAGCCTTCATTAGGCTCTGGAACAACATAAAAACTGAACAAAGAATTTTGAACATCCGTCCATTTATATACTGAACCTATATCCATAATCAGATCCTCTGCAGATGTGTCCTATAATGTTCAATTAATGATAATAGCTACTGCCGGGTATACTGCGATCGCTTTTTTGTGGATTAAAACATTATTTTTGTCATGAAAACATTAACAAATAATTCTGAAAACCTCCGTGCATGTGTATTAATAATGTATATGTAAAATGTGTTCTCCGATTAACATTTAAATGTGTTGATTGATTGTTACGGAAACGTAGGCGTAGACCAATCAGAAAGGAAGGGGGAGGGAGCTTGGGTTGTTTTTTTCAAATCATGTACCTCTCTCTCTTTTTTATGACATACTCCGCACAATCACTTTAATATCACAAATAATTTATTATGATCTGAGCATAATGGCATACAAATGATAAGCCCTCTCTATAGTGCCACCTGTAGCAGGACTCAGACATAAACATATTCGATCTGCAGGAAAATCACAGTGTAAAATCAATACACAGATACTGTGTATACAATTATATTGTGTCTAAAATTTCGCAATATTATTACGTCATGCAAAAGGTGTATGTCTCACAGCTGACCACTAGGTTGCAATGAGTTCTTATGGTGAGATTTTTTTTTTAGGTAATTTTAAGCCTTTATTACTTGTGTGCTCATTATGCTTGAATTATGATGGTAATCTTTCACATTATTCTTTTTTCTTTCAGGATCATGTCAGGCTCTGGTTTCAGGGGAGGAGTTTGCTCTTTCCTATTTGCAGACTTATAAGCCCAACTGGAATAACCCGAGCTTCCAGCTGCACATCACTGCGGTTCAGTCAGACGTCAAAGTCAATGTGGAAGTGCCGTTTTTTACGTTTTGGAAAGAGGAAAAGGTTGAGGCTGGAAAAACGGTCACAATCAGCCTTCCTAGTGATAATAGAATATATGGGAATGAGAACACAGCCCATACAGTCCGCATTAATTCCACAGGGCCCGTCACTGTAACCACTTCCATCTGCAGACGCTACAGCACTGACATCTCTTTCATTCTGCCTATTTCCGAATGGGGCACTGAATATTTTCTCATTCCTCCAAGTGGATCCCATGAAAGCTCTTTTAAAAAGTTTTCTGTGACAAATGGAAAAGAGCCCAACGAGATAACCATTACAATGACGTGTGCACTTACATACCGGAGTAAAAACTATGATGAAGGCACCCAAATAAAGGTCACACTTGAGCCTTACGAGAGCGTGCAATTTATGACAAAAGACATTGTTTCTGGTTCCCAAATCAGATCCAAGAAACCAGTGGCTGTTTACATGGGTAACACCTGCACGGGCAGCTACCAATGTAACCAAGTCTTTAAGCAGCTGGTGCCAGTCAGTAAATGGGGTTCCAGTTTTATCCTCCCCCCCCTGCAATTCCATAAATCATTTGATTTCCTCTATGTCCTAGCATCACAGAAAACAAATGTCACTGTGCAAACCGGTGAAGGGAAAGATGTTTATAGTTTGAATAAGGGAGAGCTTAAGAAGATCGAGAATAGTCAGAAAACATCGTTTGTAGTAGAGGCCGATCATCCCATCCAACTCCTCGTACTTTTCGAAGGGATACAAAAACACAAGGTTTACTCTGAGCCCTTTTATGTAAATATAGTGCCCAACAACCGCTTCTGTTTATCATACGTGCTGCATAGTCAGAAGGGTTTTTTTAGCAAGCTTCTGATAATAGTAAAAACCAATGAGACTTCACTAATTGAAGTGGATGGAGTTGGGCTCAAAAATACCCTATGGAAAAAAGTACAAGGAACAGATTTCTCTTTTACCTTGACTGAAATTAGAGAAAGGAGTAATGGTACCAGTGCTATAATTTCAAGTACAGGTGAAGCCTTCAGCGTGTACACTATTGGCCTGACTTTGAGGAATGGATACAGTGCTCCGGGACAATGCCTTAAACCAGGTATTTAAAACAACACTTTTCGTTTTGACTATTTAACCATGTTGCAAAATTGTTCACATCAGGAGTTGTTTTCAGCTCAATGATGAATATTTGGAACGAAGTTGCACTATCCTGATCCACTGCCACTTCTAGGGGAATTTCTCCATAACGTTTTATGTAGTTGTGTGCATTTAATTTGTTACACCTTCCAAGAAGTTTATGCTTTCACCAGGGGTTGTTTGTCTATCTGTCTGGTAGTTATAGTAGTTTGTTTGCATTACGACTCAAAAAGTTGAGGGGAAATTTATGAGAAAACTATCTTTCTACTATATCAGGCTCAAACAAAGCCAGCCTATACAAAATTTGAGCCATCCAAGGAAATCTTTATTAAAGCATTTTATTTACATGGGTTACATGTTTTGACCTCAGTCAGTTTTCATCAGGACATAAAATAAGAACAATTTTAATTGAATGATGCAGGAACATTTTCCGAAAAGCAAACGTATGTAGCCAGTTTTTTAATAACAGTAAAATGATACTGTTTACAGTTATTACAGCGATAGAAATGTCCTTCAGGGGCTGCGGCACACATTTTGTTCCATAACAAATGCTAAAATGCGTCGATTGTTGTCAAGGTTCTACTTAGTGTTCGTGCTGATATGATGTGCAGTACCCAGGGAGCTAGCCCACTCCTCCTGACAGTTCCATAAACAATTTTTTTTCTAAAAATGACAAAACAATTACATTTGATTTAAATTTATAGTTTTGATTTAGTCTTATTTTCATTACCCCTCACCCAAAAAAAAAAAGACAAAGGTCTTGGTAGCTTGGACATTGGGTGGTTTTTGTTTTTGTTTTCTTTATAAATTACACCTAAAACGTCGTGCCAAAAATTCAAACCCTTGGTTTTTGTGTTGAGAAAAATACACAACATTAAATTCTATTATTATCTATTCTATTTAAAAGTCAAATTTTGATCTATGGGTGTTTTTTTAGTTTGAAAAACGTTTTTATTTTACAATAATTTAAATGATAAGATTATATCAAAGGAGAAATACTGTTTGTAACTTTCGATGAAGTCACAATGAATAAGAAAATAACTCGTAAAGCACACACCTCAGGTAATCATCATCAGTCATTTCTTTCTGTCATTTACTGTATTTTTGCACTTCGGACTTGTTTGAAATATCCTGCTTAAAAATGTTCTGTTTCTACAGATATTTCTTGCAAAACTGTGAAGTGCAGCGCTGGTTATGTGTGTAAGATGATTGATGGCGTTTCCACGTGCGTACCTGAGCCCACAGAGCTCACCACCTGCTGGGCGATGGGGGATCCACACTACAGAACATTTGATGGACGACGCTTTGACTTCATGGGCACGTGCACATATGTCATGGCTAAAAACTGTGGAGCGAGAGGTCTTCCAGCGTTTGAGGTTCTGGCTCAAAATGAAAACAGAGGCAACCGCAAAGTGTCCTACGTTGGACTGGTCGTGGTGACGGTGTACAATACGACTATTACGGTGGTGTACTCGGAGAATGGCTTAGTCAGGGTAAGGCTTTTGTTTCTTTTCTAAAACTATATCTATGAAATTGCCCCCTAAAATGATTAATTATATGCAAATAGATAGAGTTCAACAAAAGCATAAGATTTATGACTAAATCAATATACAGTATAGATATTCTTGCAACAGTGGAATTCTTGCTACAAACAATTTTTGAATATAAGGAAACGAAAACTAACAATCAGATTTAACTAAAGCTTGAACACCAAAAGTAATGTGAAGAGCCACACCATTATTAGATTTGAAAACGTTTTTGTAGTAGTCCTGGTCTGAATAACGGTTCGAGGCCTGGTCTTGGCTAGAGTAGTGGTCTTTGTCTGGGGCCAATTCCTGATCCAGGTCTGCGTCCTTGTCTGGGTCTTGATCTTGGTCTGCTTCTGAGTCCTGATCTGGGTACAGGTTTGGATTTGAGTCCAAGTCGGGTTCGGATTCCTGGTCTGGATTGCATTCTAACTCCAGGTCTGAGTCCGGTTTCTGGTCCCTGGTCTGAACATGGAAATGTTAGAAGTACTTCAAAGTATTGGAATATTGCAAATACCACATCACTAAAACGTAGAACTTAGCTTTGAAAAGTTGAAACACTGAAACACTGAAACATTTATAACAAAAACAATGAAAGAACACATGAATATTTTAAAGAAATATTAAATACATAGACATCCCATCATACTTAATAGGAAGTACTGCAACTTCACTGAGAATACTGCAAATACTACAAAGGTAGAAGTACCAATAGTAATGAGATGAGTCAAACCGTTATTAAGATTCACTGTGGAAAATAAAAACTAACCCTGAAAAGTTTGAGTTAAATAAGTTTCTATTAAAATCAGTGGAAAGGACTGCAATACTTTAAAAGTGTATGTTCTCTGAAATGTGTAAACATGTTTGAACAATTAAAAAAGTATAACTTGAAGTACAAATACAAAAGAAATACCCATACCAAAAGTATGAGATATACTTTAAAACCATACAGACGAGGCACACAAATTGAAATGAAAGTATATGAAGGACTGTATAATTATAAACAGGCACTAAATAAATAAGATTCAACTAACTTTGATGCTCACATGCTTTTAATTAATGAAGGTAAAAGGCTTCTCTTTGAATCTGATTCTTTGTTTCTAAAGTCTATCTTCAACGCCTTCAATTTTGGGGGGAATAGAGTTTATTTACTTTGATTGCATTGATTACAGTAACACTGTATTCAATATGACGATGTTTCACAATAGTGAGCACAATATACAAACAAATCTAATTTGTGCTTCAAATATGTTGTATGGAAACAATAGCGGTATTTCCCATTGGAACATTTTCACTTGGAGTGAGAACTACTTTTTCTTTACCGTGTGAAGCATTTTTACCTTTTTCTCATTACAAGTGAGAATGAATCTTAATACTGAAGATTGTAGTTTTCACACCGACACGTTTAATAAACTAATTATAAGTGAAACCCAAACCCCTGTTGCCACTGTCCTTGCATGTCGATCACAAATTGAACTTCCGAAAAGCACTTGTGCTATTTGGAAAAATACTTTAGTATTGTATGAATAGTTTAAACAAATATGGCCACAAAAATGTACTTTGTACATCTTAAATTACTGGTATAGACAAGACCAACAAACAAGATCAAAACATTGTGGGTTTGAATTGAGTTCCGTTGTGTTTCAAGTTCAAATTTTGTTTTTCAAGTTACAGGTTTTTCATTTTCAGTCCTTTATTCAGAATACAAAGTTCATTTGTGGGGAAAACTAATCCATTTTGATTTAATTGGGGAAAAAGCATTCAAACTTATGACGTCCACTTGTGGGGAAAATAATAATTCAGTGGATCAATCTGCCAGTAAATTCATAAGATGAGTTGTATACTACAATAATTCAACTTATTCAGTTACCTGCAAAATTCTGAAATCCATACATGTATTTTATTCAACAATTCAATGTTCATAATAACTTGCAGCAAAATTCATGTAATTAAACTTTGCCTTCTTGTTATTGTATCTCTTCCCTAAGCTTTGTCTATTGTAATTTAGTTGCAAAGTCCGGCCTCTGTAGACACTTACTAAAGATGAAGACTTATCTTTTGTTTGTCTTTTGTCTCATGTAGATTGACAACACTGCCTGGGGATTGCCTATCTCCTTAAACAGTGGAAAACTGCTGATTTTTCAAAGTGGTCGTTCAGTTGTTATTGAGACTGACTTTGGCCTACATGTGCGCTATGACTGGCATCACTCACTGGTTGTAGGCCTGCCTAGTTCTTACAAAGGATATACATGTGGCCTTTGCGGAAACTTCAACGGGAACTCCAGCGATGACTTTGCAACTCCTTCAGGCAGCCAGGCAGGGAGCGTGGTGGAGTTTGGCAGCAGCTGGAAAGTACCTGGCCCCATGGACGATGCCCACTGCAGAGATGACTGTGTGGGTGGATGTCAAGAGAAGTGCGAGCACAAGCTGCTGCACATATGGGAAGGAAACTCTTTCTGTGGAATAATCACAATGGCGGGAAAAAATGGGCCGTTCAGTCAATGCCACAGGTTAGTGGACCCAGAAGCGTACTTTGAGAGCTGTACATTTGACGTGTGCATAGGATTGGGGCAGCGTCTGTATCTGTGCAAAGCTCTGGAGGCCTATGCTGATGCATGTCAAAGTGCAGGAGTGGAGGTCTACGACTGGAGGACCATAGCCAGATGCCGTAAGTACTTTGTACAAGCAGATCCATCCACACTAATATCAGGAACTCAATCAGTCCCCTCTCTCCTTTGTTTTCAACTTTGTTTCACTATAACAAATCCTCAGATAATAAGATTTGATTAATATTGAATAATGAATTACTTTCTTTACAACTGAATGCCTTCAATTAGATCATGCCATGTTAGATATAAAATGATTAGAATATAATGTAATTCCATACTTTTATAATGTAGCCTTGATCCATTACACGTCGACAAACATGCTACAAATATATGCCTGTTATAGCCTTTATGTCAACGTGAACTGAAAGGGCAACATATTTTTTCTACAAACAAAAATGTCAACATGGCTTGTGTCGGTGCCTATTTCGTTCTCAATATGCTGATATGCTGAAGAAATAGTACGGCTATCAAGGCAATATGAAATGTATGGAGACAGACAAAGAACTTCATTGTACATATTGCTCCTTAAAAGTAGCTCTGCTTTTGTACAAGTCTCCATGGCCTCGCACAAAAGTACAATAGTGACATGTTAGCACCAAATGAACCAATCCTAACCAGCTGGTGCCCTTTGTCAGAACTAAACATGGGGAGGCAGCATTTCAGATTCGCTAAAATCTGGAACAGTCTCTCTGAAAATTTGAGATGGGCTTCTTCTCTGACAATGTTTAAATCCAGGTTAAAAACAGTTCAGTTTAGCTGTGCATACAATGGAGGATTTTTATCTTCACTCTTTTTCTATTTTCTTTGACTATTTATATATTTTGTGACTGTCTCAATCTTATTTTGGGGTTAGGGTCGCCTTGTGTATGAATGGTGCTATACAAATACATTTGCCTTTCCTTGCCAGGCTCTGCCTTGCTGAGATTCAGAAGTCTGACTGGATTTGGCTTTCACATTCACGTGGCGCCAGTGTTTTAACTTAGAAATGTTGGCTCTGTTTGTATGTCAGTGTGTGCAAGCAAAGCCCCAACCCCAACACTGCTAAAATATCCTGGCGAGAAATCTGTTTGTAATACTTTATTACTAACTTTAAAATGTAACTGAATTTCACAATCTTAGTTGCTTTTTTTATTCTTTTGTAGCTGCTCAATGCCCTCGCAACAGCCACTATGAGCTCTGTGGAAGCGCGTGCCCAGCCACCTGCTCTGACCCAGCTGCGCCCTCCAAATGCAAACGCCCGTGTATTGAGACCTGCACATGCAACAAGGGCTTCGTGTGGAGTGGAAAACAGTGTGTCCCGGAGAAGAAATGCGGCTGCATCTACAACGGCCGCTACGTTCCAGCTGGGAATTCATTTTGGGCGGATGAGGACTGTGGTAGATGGTGCACGTGTGACCCCAAAGACCGTGAGGTGCGGTGCATAGACAAAGGTTGTAAGAGCGGACAGAAGTGTAAAGTTAGGGATGGTATCAGGCAGTGTGTGGCTGTCTCCTTTAAATTGTGTTATGGTATAGGTGACCCTCACTATAAAACCTTTGACGGAAAAAAGTTTGATTTTCAAGGCACATGCGTATATCAGCTAGCTGCACTGTGCTCCAAGGATACGGAATTAGAGCCTTTTGAAGTAAATGTGCAGAATGAGAACAGGGGCAATAAAGTCGTTGCTTACACCAAGTTGGTTGAAGTGAAGGTCTACTCCCTCAGCATTGTCATTACAAGGACACATAAAGGACTTGTCATGGTGAGTACAGCTATAATATATATAAATGCATGACAAAATATGACTTGAATTCAGGATTCTGTTCTTAATTTAAATCGTTTTGACAAGTTTAGTTCGAGTAACTTGAATGAATCTTGAATATTTTACCTTTTCCAAGAAAAAACACTTTAAGAAAGCATACAAACAATATGACCAGAATGACTCATAATGATGGTAGCTCAGCAGATAATAGCAACCTCTCCTGATAAAAGAAATATTCACTTGTGCATATCTCCATTGAAATGATCAGAGAAAAGTCTAAACTCAAAGTTTTGATGAATCCCTCAGTCGTATTCCTCTCAAGCAGCTATGAACTTGGGTTGAACTGGGTTTTACTGTATGCACTAGAAAATGCGACATGTCTTACTTTTAAGAGTAAGAGGTCTATTTTTCGTCCCTCAGTGTAGCGTCACCAGTTACAGTAGGAATGAGGACACAGAGTGAGTGTGAAAATTAATTTGTGACATGCCATTGTGTTTACCTAAAATTTCCAATTGAAATACAAATGCAAATGTACAATTGTATCAGCTAAAAGGGGGGAAACAGTTGTTTAGGCTGGTCAGCTGGTAATTAGTCAAAGCTATGGTAATTCCTCCCTCTAAGGCAGGATCATTGACCAACTCCTAATATGTGAATTGTCTTTTTAGTGTTTATTTTTTAATTCTTTCATTATCATTCAAGCTAAAGTAGTTTGTTACATTGAAATGTGAAAAAAATTTCGTCACATAATCAAATATCTCCAAGTCATAAATAACCATACATAGTCTACAATAATGACCTGAATTCAAGTTATTTTTAAGCGTGATGATTACTGCAGTGTACATTTTCTCACAGAAAACACTGAACCAATTTATTTTTCAGGTAAATAACGAGTTTGTGAACCTCCCAATCAGTCTTCAAGATGGAGATGTGAAGGTTTATAAAAGTGGGTGGTACGCGGTCATCAGCACAAACTTTGGCCTGAGAGTTGCATACAACTGGAAAGGTGCCGTTTTTGTTATTCTTACCAGCGACTACAAGGGAGCTGTGTGCGGTCTTTGCGGCAATTACAACGATATACCACAGGACGATCTTATTCCTAAAAACGGTAACAAACCTGTCGAACCGGCAGTCTTCGGCGCCAGTTGGAGAGTGGCGGAGATCCCAGGATGCCTTGACGCGTGTGAAGGGAAGTGCCCAGACTGTGACATAACTGAGAAGGATAAATATGAGAGCAATGATTATTGCGGAATTATAAAAGATCCCAGAGGTCCCTTCCGCGATTGCCACGCACAAGTAGACCCGGCCGACGCCTTTGAAGACTGCGTGTTTGATGTGTGCATGTACGAAGGGATAAAAGATGTTCTGTGTCAGGCCATCACCGACTACACTTCTGCATGTCAAGAAGTAGGAGCTGAAGTCTACAGCTGGCGTACCGAGCGGTTCTGTCGTAAGTTTTTCATTTTGGGAGTAGTAGTTTTTTTGCAGAGTCTACCTCTTTCTTTCCAATATTACAAAAAGCTTTATAAATTGAAAAACTGTTTCCTCCAACAAAAAAAGCAACAAAAAAGCAGTTGTTTGTAGCTCTGGGAAAGGAACTGAATTTAAACAGGCAGAGTGTGCTTTTGGTGCATAAAACAGATACTAAACCAGAAAATATGATCTAAACCTCATGAAGGTTTTGAATACACAGCACAGCACAGATTCATCACTTCACCCAATGTTCAACCAGTCCCAACAGTCCCAGTGACAGTGAGTGTGTGAATCAGGAAAAAAAAAAAAAAAAAACTAGTTTATTATCCACAGAGACAATACTCCAAAATTTTATTCCAGAATGGACAGGCCTCTGGTGTGAGTACACCCGCCTTCTTGCGGATAACCTGGACTCAAGGGGCAACAAGGCTCTCACAGCAGGGTTTTTCCCCTTCGACCTCAACGTCTGTTCCAACTTTTTCCCCACCCTATTGACTTGTCTCTAAAAGCTGGTTCAAAAATCCTTGACCCCGCGTAGTAATTTCCATTGACACATTAATACGTCAATTGTTTTTCACTCTTTTTAGAGCTTTAGAGCATATTTTATCGAGCCAGCTCAGCGCTGCCTCTGGATGTTTTGAAAACAGGATGCACTTGTTGCTTCCTTTTTCTCAGCGTTTTGTCTGAGACTGGTGATTTCAGTAAAACTACAGGGGAACAAAACAAGCTTGAAACAAAATATTTTTTTCTGATGAAAGTAGATAGTCTGGATTTCAGATAGTACACAATATTCTGTGGGTCTTGAAAAATCAATAAAAATCATTAGAAACTGATGGCATTATGGGAGTACCTGTTCTGAAGTGAGTTAATAACTGTGGCAGGTAATTTAGACCGCAGGGTAGAACAAGGGTAAAGGCTGGTTTCTGACTCTGAGTCCCTTTGAGGTGCACGTTAACCATATGGAAAGTAGAATCTGCCCTCATGCACATGCAAGGGCAAGACCTCTTGTGTCTCGACACACCTGTCCATTCATAAATTCTAAATTTATCTTCTCTGGATCTAAGTTCTAAGTTTGAGTTCATAACATTTTCTTTTATTTGGGGGAGATAAAACACAGCTTCAAGTAATTAATGAGTGGGCTGTAATCAACGTATATAATACTTTTCATTGTTTTGTCTTCAGCCATAAAGTGTTCGGCCAACAGCCACTACGAGGTGTGTGGGACTGCTTGTCCCGCGACCTGCCCAAGTCTGGCCCCACCCCGTGGCTGTCATGTACGTTGCATGGAGGACTGTATCTGTGATGAAGGCTACATCCTCAGCGGAGGCGTCTGTGTACCCCTCTCACACTGTGGGTGTGAGTACGAAGACCGCTACTACCAAATCGGAGAAGTATTCTTCCCCAATGGAAAGTGTGACGAAGAATGCCAGTGTGTGTTTGAGGAAACAAAAAAGGCCAGTACCAAAAGTTTTACATTTTCTTTCTATAAGTAGAAAAAGGACAGCATGCGTTTTCCATTGTGATATGGATGGATGGATGGATAGATACTTATAGATCAGTAGGAGAAAGCGGGTGTCCAGCAGCAGAAACACACCGACCCATTCAAACACAATAATACATATTTCTAAAAGTCTAGACTGTAGAGGTGGAACAGCCACTGGTGATGAGCTGCTTCCATTCCTCTGGTTGATGTATGCAGAGTCTGCTTAGTTCAAACCATTTTCTTTGCTCCGATGCAGAGTGAAATACTGAATGCTATTAGCATTTTTAAAAATAATGATAATTGCATTCCTCCAGTGGATTTATGCTTGATATGCTTGGACCGTGCATCCTCTCTGCTCTGGTCTGGATCAGTGTAAAAGCAGGAACACTTTAATACAGTCAATTTTACAACTAAGCCAGAAAAATAACGCTTGTAAAGTACAAAACAACTGTTTCAGAGGTACTTAGGACGGATGAAGTAAAAAACATCAAATAGATTTTTTTTAAATTCAATGATTTGAAGAAGATATAGCCATCCATCCATCCATTTGCATCCCCTTAATCCATTTCCTGGTTGGAGGGCAACCCAGTACGCATAGCACCAGCCCCTATAACAGAAGATATAGCATATTGCTGACACGCTCGTCAATCACCTTATTGCTCTTGGGAGACAAATTTTCCGTATGACAGCTACAATGAGGAAGAAATGGACCCTTTGCCCTGTTGGTGCAAGTGAATAATTAAAATAAGCTGCCAAGATTGTTCTTCATGTGCAGTGTTTCCCTGAGCAATGGGGCTTTTGACAAACGCCATTCATCCACACCCTTGAATATCTGGAATCTTAATCTCATTGTACAGTAGAAAGGTTTTGCAGTCACCCAGTCACCAAGTTTCTTATGCATTTCAAAAACATTTGTCCTGAAAGCCTCTTTTTGAGCTACACATGCAGCTTTGATTTGCAACAACTATTAAGAATTTACATGATGTGATGTTTGTTTTTTCTCTTTCCTCCAAAGGTTGTATGTAAGCAGCTCTCTTGCGGCCCTAATGAAGAGTGTGCAGTTAAAAATGGTGTCCGGAAGTGTCACCCGGTTGGGGAGGGCGTGTGCCGTGCCTCCGGTGATCCCCACTACATCACTTTTGATGGGAAAAAGTTTGACTTTCAAGGAACCTGCACTTATGTTCTGTCCCAAAGCTGTGGCATCGAAGGCACATACCTCACACCTTTTTCAGTTCATGTTGAGAACGAAGAGTGGAAACGGAACCGGAAAGTGTCAGTTACGAAGCTTGTTGCCGTGAGCGTCTATGGAAAAACTATCATCATGAAACATAACACACATGGAGTTTTGGTAAGTTCATTCATATCATACAAAAAAAGTGTTATTGTTTTATTATTTTACGAAGCTGTTCAACTGTTCTTTACTATTTTGTCGCCATTTGTCAATCCTACATCATCACTCATTTGTAAAGTATCAAAAGTAGTGATCTGGGCAACGTGTTAGTGCAGAGAAAAAAGTCTTTTTCAAGCGATTTTCCAAACCATTTCAATCAAAACATAGCAACCAGCCAAGACGGTCAAATACGGACATAAAAGTGTCTAGAAACTGGAAATGCATCTAGAATCTTAATTAACTATAAGGACAACCTGCACTTTTATGAATAGTGAAATTAGTAAAAATGTGTATGTCTTCCAGGTGGACGGAATCTTCAACAATCTACCAATAAATATAAATCAGGGTGCAATAATAGTCTTCAAGGAGGGGACCAATTATGTTATTAAGACGGACTTTGGGCTGAGAGTGAGTTATGACCTCCGATACAGTGTTGTTGTGACGGTACCTGGTAATTATCGGAAGAAGGTTTGTGGTCTGTGCGGTAACTTCAATGGCAATTCCGGAGATGACTTTCAGCTGCCAAACAAAGAACTCACTACTGATGTGAACAACTTTGGAAATTCATGGAAAGTAAACATTCCAAATGTTTTGTGCTCAAATGGCTGTGAAGGAAATCAGTGTCCTGTCTGTGACAAACTCCATGAAGCTGTGTTCTCCAAATACACCTACTGTGGCATATTGACAGCGCCCAAAGGTCCTTTCGCCAGCTGCCACAGTATACTGGACCCTAAGCAGTTCTTTGAGGACTGTGTGTTTGACGTGTGTGCAGCGAATGGAGATGAAAGTGTGCAATGTGACAGTGTAGCGGCCTATGCTTTCAGTTGTCAGAAGGCAGGAGCGGATATTCAAATCTGGAGGTCTCCTTTCTTCTGTCGTAAGTACCATCTGCTTTAAGTGTTGCGGACACTATGGAATACATAAAACAATGTCTTCTTGTTTTTAGCGATGAAGTGTCCGGCCAACAGCCACTATGAGCTATGTGCCGACTTGAGTGGTGTGGCCTGTTCGGGACTCGCAGAAATAGTGCCGTTTAACACTGGCTGCAGAGAGGGCTGTGAATGTGACACCGGTTTTGTGTTCAATGGAGAGACATGTGTCGAAGAGGATGAATGTGGCTGCTCTGATGGGCAAAGAACATACAAGGTACTCTTTCCAAAATGTAAATCATTTGGAAACCATACTCATAACAAAATGATCTTTGCCCTTAGCCTGGTCAACTGTTTTATAATGAAGACTGCTCCAAAAAGTGTGTGTGTAATCCGGTGAAAGGACTGGTTTGTGAAGACCACTTGTGTCCTCGAGGCACCACATGTTCTGTGAAGAAAGGAGTTGTGGGATGCTACGACAAAGGCAGGGCATCCTACAAATTGAGGAGCAGAGGATACGTGAACTTACAAGTGTCTCTTTTTCTTTTTAGATCCCTGCAAAAATGCAAACTGCCGCAAAAAAGAAAAGTGTCGTGTTGAAAAGGATGAAGCTGTGTGTGTGCCAGATTTCACTGGAGTCTGCCGCGCCTGGGGCGACCCACACTATATCACTTTTGATAACTTTAAATATGACTTCCAAGGGACATGCCGATATGTCATCTCTGAAACCTGTGGAAACCTGGACGGTCTGGTTCCTTTCTCAATCACAGAGAGAAATGACAATAGAGGAAACCGAGCCGTTTCATATGTGGCAGATGTGGAGGTGTCTGTATATGGATATAGTATCATTGTGCACAAGAACCAAGTCGGCAAAGTCACTGTAAGATTTAAGTCCCATTTTTGACATATTCAAAAATATTTAAAGGTTTTGTCTATTAACAAAACTTTTTACAGGTTGATGGATTGCTCTATAATCTGCCAGTGGTTTTGGGTGAGGAGAGCTTAGTGTCTATTTTAAAACAAGGACATCAAATCAAAATCAAAACAATCTTTGGCCTTATTGTTACTTACGACTGGAACCACGAACTTATTATCAAGCTCCCAAGCTCTTACTGCAACCTGGTCTGTGGTCTGTGTGGCAACTTCAATGGAGACAAAACTGATGAGATTCAAAACCCAGCCGGAGAGTTGTTGTCCAATGTCGTGGACTGGGCAAAAAGCTGGAGAACTCCCAATCAAAAAGACAAGAAATGCAGTGACACGTGCCAACACGACTGTCCAGTTTGTGATGATAAGCAACGCAAGGTTTATGAGACAGAAGACTTTTGCGGAGCCCTCACCGCTAAACACCATAATGTGTTTGAGATATGCCATGAAAAGGTGGATCCAAAACCTTTCCTGGACAGCTGTGTGTTTGACATGTGTATGAACAAGGGGGACAAGAAGATACTTTGTCAGACGCTGGCCTCCTACACTCAGCAATGTCGTGAGGAAGGAGTTGAAATCACCGGCTGGAGGCGGAAATTTGGCTGCCGTGAGTACTTTTTTTTTTGCCCCAACACAGTTATTTGAGCTTCCATTCAATACAAGGAAGGTAAAGGGGACATAACCTAAAAATGATCTTTACTCAGCTTTTGGTCATGTTATAGTATTTTCCCTTGTAAAGTACATAGCTGTTTGTAGTGCCATGTTTGAGTTCTTTATATCATCCTTTAAGTGTCTCCCAATTTCGCTCATCCTCCGCCCACTGACTACTGGCACTTAGCCTCTCCCCTGAGTTTCACTTACTTGTGATTTTAATTTATGATTGTAGCTTTTTTTCAAATGACCAGACCTATATTAATGGATCAGACATAAAAAGTTATTTGTTCTTGATCTGTTTTACTTGTGTCATCTGTAGAGTAAGGTGATTGGTGAAAAATTGGCAAAGAATTAAAAACATTAGTCAGAACAGTATTGTTTTATAATGTAAAAACAAAATATATAAATATAAAACAAAAAAATTATGGGTTCAAACTCAAAACGAGACCTACTTCACGGAAGAAAATGGATGGATAGATGGATATACATTTTTTCAATATTAGACGTGGATATATTATCTCTTGGTAATAGATAGAGCAGCTGTGCACCAAGTATCTCACATGCGTAACTTTCTAATGTTCTTTACTAAACAGGTGTGAGCCGCGCGTCATAAAGAGGCTTGTGTTTCTTTGATCGAGACCTCACACTGTCTGATCAGCACATTTTCCAAGTGAAAGATCACATAATTTTTGCTGTGATCGATGGTGACTGATTGATATGCAAAACCCTACTCATAATGCAGGACTAAAATAATATAATACTAACTCAACAAAATCCAGGATATAGAAATGGTTACAGAAATAAAACTCAAGGACATCTGATAGACAACTAACCTACAACAGAAGTAGAGGAGCAAAGGACAGAAAGACATAATAAGATAATAATAATAATAATAAGATAAAACCCCCAAAAAAATTCCACAAAACACCAAAAAATGTCAAAGAAACAATTCTTATGATTGTGTTTGAAGCTAATACATTATATAATAATACATGTACTTTAATATTAATACTCTAATACATTTTTTTGGTTCCAAATAATGCTCTTGTTAATGTTAGTAAAGGTTTGTGAAAACATTTGTATTCTTCTGATGTGAGTCACAACTGACAAAAAGTTAATACAAAGATTTCTATTAATCACACTATTATTTAAAAAAACGAATATTCGTATTGAATACAAATAATTGGAGGCAAGAGACTAATACATTTTCAAATGTACATTTAATAATTTAAATGTACAATAAATAATTCACAACTATGAAACAATAAGACATGAACAGACAGTGATGGGTTAGATGTGGCTGTTATATACAAACTGTATTGTTATACTGTTATTTCCTTTTTTGAAATAATATGAAAATGAAAAAACTAATAGTAAGGCATGAAAGGTAGAGTGGACAATTTGGTCAAAACTATGCATCAATTACTTGAATCAGTTCTAAATTGCAGATGACACCAATTAAAAAATATCGTATGGTTTGATAAAAATAAATTATCATTCATTATAAACAAAACAAAATTCAAATTGAAAATCACAAAAAGTTTAAAATAAAAGAAGAATAAAAGAATATTGCTGTCCTGCATAAAGGTAAATACTCAATGATGATGCCCTAAGGCAATTTTAACTACTTTTTCAATTGTGTGACAGGATTTGTCTTGCAATAATGATATACACTAATCACATAATTATCATTATAAAAAGTGCATGTTACAAAAAAAAATTATTGAAAAAATACATTGGTCGATTAATCACTTTAGTTAGCCGCCATAATGTATACTTATTATATATCAATTATGCATTACTTTTTGTATTATGTTACTTGTATTCTGTTACTTTGTTTGCAGCAATGAACTGCCAGCCCCACAGTCACTTTGAGGAATGTGCCAGCCCGTGCCAGCCGACCTGCCCCTTCCCCGAGCAGCAGCAGATCTGCGCCACCGTTTGTGTGGAGACCTGTGTGTGCGATAAGGGCTATGTCCTGAGTGCCGGCGTGTGCGTCCCAGAAGCAACTTGCGGCTGCTCCTATCAGGGGCGCTACTACAAACCAGGCCAGCGCTTCTGGGAAGGCCCGGGCTGTGGGCGCCTCTGTGAGTGTGACACGACTCTGGGGATGGTGGTCTGTGACGAGGCTTCATGCTCGGACAATGAGGAGTGCTCTGTGGTGGACTGGATCCGTGCTTGTCGGCCCAAGAGATATGCCACATGTACAGCTGCTGGAGACCCTCACTACACGACGTTTGACGGCCGTAAATTTGACTTCCAGGTAAGGATGAACAATGTATTTATTACGATCATTGTGAGAAATACATAGCGATTGATTAAACAGTCATTCTTATTATTCCGTCCGTCCGTTTTCTTCCACTTCATCCGTTGCCGGGTCGCGGGGGCGGCAGTCTAAGCAGAGACGCCCAGACTTCCCTATCCACACACACTTCCTCCAGCTCGTCCGGGGGGACCCCAAGGCGTGCCCAGGCCAGCTGAGAGACATAGTCCCTCCAGCGTGTCCTGGGTCTTCCCCGGGGGCCTCCTCCCGGTGGGACGTGCCCGGAACACCTCCCCAGGGAGGCGTCCAGGAGGCATCCGGAACAGATGCCCGAGCCACCTCAACTGGTTCCTCTCGACGTGGAGTAGCAGCGGCTCTACTCCGAGCTCCTCCCGTGTGACTGAGCTCCTCACCCTATCTCTAAGGGAGCGCCCAGCCACTCTGCGGAGGAAGCTCATTTCGACCGCTTGTATCCGCGATCTCGTTCTTTTGGTCATTACCCAAAGCTCATACCATAGGTGAGGGAAGGAACAAAGATTGACCGGTAATTTACGTGTCAACAAACATTCTTATTATTGACACGTCAAAGGCAAGAACTTTGTATTGAATGAAATGAGAATGCTGACGTGATAGGTGGGGCAATAAAAGGCCTGGAACCCCTGGGGTGTTTTATGATCTTGGTAACCTTATTTACTTCTTGTTGTGGCCAGAAAATCATTGAAACACAGATGCTTCGATAGAAAAAGGTTGCTTTTCATGAGACCCAAAGACGCTCCACAGCATTATTCATTCAATCCATGGTAGTGGTAAACTACTTCTGTAGCGAGGAGAGATGAAAGCAATCTCTTGCTGTCTGCACACGAGCAGTAATTTTTGCCTTAAATGAGGACTTATACTGTCCAAGATCTTAGAGAAGGTGGTCTCAAAACAATTGTCGTGCTACCTGGATCATCATAACATTCATGACACTTTCCAATCTGGTTTCCGAAAACATCACTCCACGGAAACAGCATTGTTGAAAGTATCCAGTGACATAATGATGTCTGCTGACTCTGGAAAATGCTCTGTTCTTGTTCTGCTTGACCTGTGTTATAGAATTACATACCCCAAAGCAAGGAGAAAGCCCAAAAGTATTTGTCTTAAATCAGGAGCGTAAGTTTATTGTAACACACGTGCGGAGAGCTAGCATATCCAAAAGGCAGCATACCCAGCTCTGGCTCGCAGAGCTCAGGCTTCCTGTTTACATAGAAAGACCGTCACGCCCACAACAGATGGGAGGGGGCCACCGGTGAAGGAGGCGCATAGGGAGCGCAGGCGCCATGCCCCTGTGGTGAGGCAATCAGACACAGGGCATGGAGGTGCGAACAGACAGACAATGGTAGAAATGCAAGCATACAGATGCGAGATGCGAAAGACACAAGGGTGTGACAGACAGCAGGGACCTTCACAAAGCTCAGCATGGCGTCAGAAGGTCGTCTCTGCATTGAAAAGGCCTTTTACGTCCGTGTATTTGCTGCGGCTGGTTTTAATGTGATTACTCTAAAAACTGTCATTACACCTGTCCTCAGCGTTTGATACCGTCGACCACCACATAATGCTAAACAGATTGAGTGGCTTGGTTGGACTGTCAGGGCCAGTTCTAAATTGGTTTTCCTCTTACTTATCTGGTCGGAGTTTTAGTGTTGCAGCAAATCAAATCATGTCTGATTCAGCTAAATTATTCTGTGGTGTTCCGCAGGGCTCTGTTTTGGGTCCGGTTCTATTTCTACTTTATATAATTCCATTGGGAAAGGTCATTCAGGAGTTCGCTGATGTTTCTTATCACCTGTTTGCTGACGATATCCAGTTGTACTGTTCTTTTAAGCCTTCTGAGATGGGAAGGCTGAACTCTTTAGTCAACTGTTTGAAAAATATAAAACTATGGTTAAGTAAAAATTCTCTGCAGCTTAATGCTGATAAAACAGAAACCCTTGTGATTGCTCCTGATGACCTTATCCCAGGGATAAACCAGTATTTGGGAGATCTCAGCCAGTCCGCTGCAAAGAGTCTCAGGAACCTTGGTGTGATTTTTGACAAAAACATGTCATTAGATCACCACTCTAAACAGCTTAGTAGAAATTGTTTCTTTCAGTTGAGGAACATCTCTAAACTGAGGAAAATTGTGTCACGTAATGATTTGGAGCTCATTATTCATGCTTTTGTGTCGTCACGTTTAGACTATTGCAACAGTTTATTTTCGTGTCTAAACAAAAAAGAGCTGTCTCGTCTCCAAATGGTTCAAAACTCTGCAGCGAGGATTTTAACTTGCACTAATAGAAGGGCTCATATTACCCCAATTCTTAAAGCCCTCCACTGGCTGCCGGTGTCTTACCGGTTTCAATTTAAAATCTTGGTGCTGACTTTTAGATCCTTATATGGTCAGACGCCTTCTTACATCAGAGATCTGATTCAGCCCTATGTCCCCTCTCGTTCTCTGAGGTCTGTAGATAAAAATCTCTTGATGGTTCCTCGCACTCGTTATCGAACCAGAGGAGACCGATCCTTCCAGGCTGTCGCACCTAGACTCTGGAACGATCTCCCGCTCTCTCTACGATCACTTGACTCTGTTGATACATTTAAATCCCAACTCAAGACGTTCTTGTTCAGTCGAGCGTTTTGAAAGTACGGTTTTATGGGCTGATATATATGGGCTTGATTGTGTAATTTTTTCTTGTGTTTTTAATTATTGCTTGTTTTTGATGTGAAGCACTTTGTGACCTTCTGTCTGAGAAAGGTGCTATATAAATAAACTTTGCTTGCTTGCTTGCTTGCTACTGTATCTGACAAACAGGGTTTTGGGCATGAATTTCTCTAAAAGCCGCATAGTGCAGGTTGGGTCTCCTTCACTGCCTTCCTGGAAACCCGCCCTCGCTTCACAACTTTTTCCTGGACCAATCTTTTTGTACCCAAGAGTCATTCAGAACTGGCCTTTTAATAAATATTTTGTGCGCCCAGAGAGTCAGCACCCTCCCTCGGCCCTATTTGGGACACAATCCTTACTAGGAGACTTAACCCCACTTTGCCTGATGCCCCCACTGACAGATCAGGGCTATGCTCTCAGTGACAGAGATCCTTTTGTGGACTAACCACCTGCAGGAGGATCAGTGAAGGGCTGGTGCCTTTTGAATTGGGTGGCAGCTGAATATTCAGAATTATAAATTAACTCGACGATTTGACATCCCCCCTTCTAGGGTACTTGTAAATATCAGCTGGCAGCGTTGTGTGTGAAGAACCGGTATCTGGAACCATTTAAAGTCACCGTGCAGAATGAAAACAGAGGCAACAACTTAGCCGTGTCCATCACCAGAACTGTGATCATCGAGATGTACGGTGTCACGATCATCATCAGTCGAGAGAACCCCAATAAAATTAAGGTGAGTGCACAACTTCCACACTTAGACAATTGTTTTTTAAGATGTTGCAACGTTATTTATCTCTTTTTTTTTTTACTTGTTCTGTGCCCGCAGGCGGTTAGAATAAGCATTCTCGGCAATTGCCTTTGGGCTTAGGGTGTAATCTTGTTGCAAGAGTGATAAAGGGCAAAATTGTTATGATATTGGTTTATTTGTTCTATATATCAGGCCATAACATAATGCAATTTTTTTTACACATAAAACATGAAAGGCTAAAGTAAATATTCTCAAGAAATGATGCAACGTAATCTGTGCTTGTAATTCAGGTGTGTAAAATAGTAAGATTACTCCGTGTACAAACTTCAGTAGTTTGTACACTTTGTCACAACAGACTTTCAGTGCCTGTGACAAACCACTGTCTCTGAGAGAAGCTATCGAAGCTAGCCATGCTCAATGACACAAATAACAATCAGTCAATACAAATCGGAGAACACATTAAACATTTACATTCTTAGTACACATGCACGGGGGTTTTCAGAATTATCTGTTAGAGTTTTCATGACAAAAATAATGATTTAATGCAACAAAACGCGATGGGGGTAAACCCGGAAGTAACTATTAACATTAGTAGAACATTTTAGGACACATTTGCAGAGGATCTGATAAATGGACTTAGGTTGAGTTTATATTTTGGTCACTCATCGCTGATGTTCAGAATTCTTTGTTCAGTTTTCATGTAGTTCCAAAGCCTAATGGAGGCTTGATTTTTTATTATCTCTTTCTGACTGCTGCATTGAGCCAAAGCAATTTCCAAGTCTGTGGCAATAAAATGATTCTGATTCTGATTGATTTGGAGGCTCTGTGAAAACAAACAAGTGAGCATGTGCGCAGCTATACAAGCAGCACTCGTGATGATTGACAGCCCTTGGCATCACTTGATTGGCATCGTGGATTTTGAGCTATAGCTAAGAGAAGGAAAGGCGGGACTTACCCGTAATATTAGAATTCATAAAATGACTTATTTTATATCAACATTTAAGCCCAGGAGGTCATTTTAATACAATTCTTAAAATGTGTAATTCATTTTCTTATGCATTATCCGTTGCTGGGAGTGGGAGTTTAGCTGTCAAAGTAGAGATGGCCAGACTTTCCTATCCACTATGGTGGATACGGTGTTCTTGGGATGCAGTTCCCAAGCAGTTCGTCTGATTAAACTGTGATCAGGCCAGTGAAGATTAAGAAGAGGCCTGTTAGAGTATCACATGTACAGATGAGACCAAATTAAATGAGACCAAGTAAAACCCTATAAATCATATTAAGAAATGGATGGATACAGTGCATGGATTATCCGATAGATCCACAGCAGGAGAAATTCAGGTGTCCAGCAGCATACACACATCCATTCACACAAACAAATACATAATTCTGAAAGTTGTCAACACTAGTAATACAGTGACAGCAGTTAAGGTAACAACAGCACCCATCTCAACAAACGTAATTTACACATATTTTGTGTTCTCAGCTTGACGGTCAGCTCGAGGACTTGCCCCTGCAGTACAGCGATGACCTGTGGGTGTCACACAGCGGTCAAAAAGCGGTGGTCGAAACAGCAGCTGGTATCACTATAACCTTTGACTGGCACCACCGTGTCTCTGTGACTCTGCCAAGCAAGTACCAGGGTGCTGTATGCGGTCTGTGTGGAAACTATAATGAAAATCCTAACGACGATTTCAACAAGCCCAATGGCGAGGCTGCTAATACTGAAGTCCAGCTGGGGGAGAGCTGGAGGGTCGGCATTGTTCAGGGCTGCTTATCAGTGTGCCAGGGGCCGAGGTGCAGTCGCTGTGATGGCTCCCAGAAAGATGTGTACAAAGAAAAGAAATACTGTGGCATTATTGCGGACGAGAGGGGACCATTCAAAGAGTGCCACAGCCACATTAATAATGCCCCATATCTGGAGGACTGTGCGTTTGATGCGTGTCAGTATGATGGGCACCACGGCTCTGTGTGTGATGCCATCGAGGCTTATGTGTCCGCCTGTCAGAGCGCAGGGGTAGAGGTGCGCCCATGGAGGACGTACAAGTTCTGTCGTAAGTATAATTCAGCTTTTGTTGAATGTAAAAGGTCTCACAATGCAGATTTCAATGGGAATAAAACAGGGTCTAATGGGTCTAAGGGTCCTTGATAGAAATGACTGTCAATCTCAGTGTAGTGAAAAGCAGCCTTCTGAAGGAGCTCCTCTGCATCATCACCTCTTCATGCAGAGAGGAACCTCAGGCGAAGGTTTGCAGTGTTGGGCACGTTACTTTGAAAAAGTAATTAGTTATAGTTACTAGTTACTTCTCCCAAAAAGTAAACTTTTACTTTACTCCACTATAAAAGTAACTAGTTACCAGTAAAAGTAACTATTGCGTTACTTTTTCGTTTTGTTCTGGAACATAATGTGCACTCGAGGTGCGCATTTTTACCTTTAACCTCAGTGAGTCTGAAATATTGCCAATATTTCCATCTAGAAAAGGCTGTTTTGCTGCTGAAGTCCTGTTCACTCTTCATCTCTCTCTGTGCTGTAAGCACTAAACACCAACACCCGCCACTGTGAATGTGGAAACACCGGTGAAGCACTGACTTCAGTCCAATCAGATGAACATATACATCATATAAATCAAGTGGACAATTTGTTTGGCTACAGCAGAATATGTTTCATGGCCGCATTGTTTGTTCATACAAAACGCAAAACTATGAGTTATGGATCTTACCTAAATAAATGACCTGCACAGACCACTTCGGTTCAGACCAGTTCTGTGTTTAAGTCCAGATAATAGTTTGAGCGTAGATATGTAATCCTCCGTTTGGAAATGAGTTTTAAAAAGTAAAACAAAACGCGTGTGTCCTCCGTAAACTACTCTGTTTTGCTAGGTGCAGCCGAGTGTATCCAATTTCTAAAATCAACTGTGTTACACTTCACCTCTTTCTTATCATTCCTATAGTCATTGAAAAATTACCGTAAGTGCATTTTAAATTATCTTAAAATGTGTTATATGTATGTTAGCCAAACTTGTTGCAGCCCTTAGCAGATAAACCAGTAAGAGAAAGGAGCTTTCTGATGGAATTGTATGCAGCCGACTTCTGCGCTCACATGCGCTCCTCTGAGCCCTCACGGTGATACAAGCTGTGGTTGAGCGCGACTAAGACCCATATTTATTTCAAAAACACAATTTATGACCATCCTCTCAACTGTAGACATGTGGATTGTAAAGGAAATATGTTTTACATCAGCCAATAATTGCTGAGAGGTTTTCTCATCCTCCCTTCTCTCATGACAACACGCGCACGAGTCCTATCATGAAGTAAAAAGATAAGTTCATTGTGCGTCTTTAGTAACGCGCAGTAACGGGATGTCGGAAATGATAACGGCGTTATAGTTACAGTCAAAGTAATTAGTTAGATTACTCGTTACTGAAAAAAGTAACGGCGTTAGTAACGCCGTTACTAGTAACGCCGTTATTCCCATCACTGATAACATCCTCTTTATCACAGACACCACAGAGAACTGATCGGGTTCCTGCTCTCCTCCCTGAAAAAAGGCCCTTCTTCCCGATTGCTCAGTTTGGAAAGGCAGCAAGTTGTGGGAGGAGTCCTTATGGTTTTGAACTTTAACATTTCCTAATAATGGAGGCCTCTGTGCTCTTTGGGGCCCTCAGTACTGCTCCAATTTGTTCGAATCCCTCCCCAGATATGTGTATCAATAATAATTCTGTCAATAGAATGTGAATACTTATGAATATGATCTGTTTCTTTCTTTTTTTATGTGGTAAAAATAAAACATGATTTGATAAAAGTTTGAATACAATAAGGACTTTTTGAGCTTTGTGGATGAGTTACAGGTTTTATGTTCAACCTTAGTGTTTTCTGTCAATCGCTCACACTTCTCTGTTCTCAACCCATAGCGATGTCGTGCCCCGCTAACAGCCATTACACCCTCTGTGCCACGAGCTGCCCCGCCACCTGTGCCATCTTCTCCCAGAGGAACTGCAACAGACCATGCGCAGGAACGTGTGAATGCGACGATGGCTTCCTGCTGAGTGGGGGAGCCTGTGTGCCCATCAAAGACTGCGGCTGCTCCTACGGCGGACACTATTACCAGAGCGGTGCTGTCTTTTATCCAGACGACAAATGTTTGGAGAAGTGTGTCTGCGGAAAAAATGGCGCTGTTTTATGTCAAAAGACCAATTGCCGTCACGGTGAGGAGTGTAAACTGGTGGATGGTGTCAGAGGCTGTCATCCTGTGGGGGAGGCGTGGTGCGTGGCTTCCGGAGATCCACATTACCACACCTTTGATGGCCACAGGTTTGACTTCCAGGGTACATGCGTTTATATTCTGGCCAAAGTGTGCGATGACGATGAAGGCCAACTGACGTCATTCACCGTGACGCAAGGAAATGAGAAGTGGGGCAATGGAAACGTGGCGGTCACAAAGTCGGTGGGAGTTGAAGTCTATGGTTTTGTCATCTATATTCAGCGAGGAGACAGCTGGAAAGTCAAAGTAAGTGAATTGTTATCATGACTGCTTTCACATGACATCACACATACATTCGCCATATTAAAACATTGAAAAAGAGGTCGCAAGAATTCAATGGTAGAATTTGCTTTGAATTCTCCGAAATGCAGATTTGTCAATCTATTTTAGCGAAACTTGCTCATATTTGGAGCCGGGGATTTCAAGTAGTATTATCTCACTTAACCAAGCAGTTTTTGAATTTAAAAAAAAATATCTTTCAAGATGGTTCCCCGCTCAAAGACAGACCTGGACTTGTCTTTTGGCTCTATCCACACACGAGAAACTCCTGGCACAAATTGATTGCCCCAAGCCCATCTGTTGAATTTATCCTTTATCAAACTTCTTACGCTATGATGAATACTTTTTGCTTTGACTTCATACATACATGAAAACAGAGGCATACATTCAATAGTAAATTTTTTTAAGATATGTTTGCACCAATTCACTACCTCACTTTTTCATTGACCACATCAGTTTATTGCCAAGTCTGTTTATTGTTTATGTAGCCAATTAAAAGATAGAAGCAAAAGGAGAAAAAAAGCCATGGGGGTTCCTGAGATGCTAAAAACAATAGAGGACCAAAATAACCCAAGGATAGTGCAACAAGGTGAAATATCCAGCTAAATCTCCCAAAATACCTTAAAGAAATGACTTCCTATTTTAATACATAATAAAAAAAAGCAAACATGAACATGAATAAGGCTGATATTCTCATCATCGGGTTGATTCTATTATTTATCGTACATGAGCAATACCTACCATAACATTAATACTGTTTTCAATTGTTGTGTTTAGGTGAACGGTGAATTTGTCAATCTGCCCTCGTCCCTACACGACGGTCGCATCCAAATAACCCAAGAGGGACGCAACATCATTGTCAGAACTGACTTTGGTTTGAGAGTTCAGTACGATACCGTCTATTACGTTGAAGTCATCGTACCGTCTACATACTGGCGAAGAATGTGTGGCCTTTGTGGCAACTACAACAAAAAACCCGATGATGACTTCTTACTGCCAGACGGAAAATTCACTGAAGATGTCGACGTGTTTGGAAAGGCATGGGCCGTGGAGCTCCCTGGTTTTGATTGTGGAGGTTGCGGAAGCCAATGTCCAGTGTGTGATCCAGCTAAAGCAGCAGTACTTGGGAAGCCGGACTTCTGTGGTATCATACAAGCATATGATGGGCCTTTCAAAGAGTGCCACAGCAGGATTAATCCCCTCAGATATTTCTCAGACTGCGTCTTTGATGTGTGTGAAGATAAGGATGCTCTGTGCGACAGCATCATGGCCTATGCTCTGGCCTGTCAGAGTGCTGGAGTTCAGATTCAACAGTGGAGGACCGACTCCTTCTGCTGTAAGAAAACACAACATAATCAAGAATATCAGCTCAACTGTTCAGTTACATTCAATTACTTTTATTTCATTATGAAGGACTTAATACATTTGAAAACATGCAATAATGACAAACACATAGAGGCCATTTGTTCATAGGGAATGGGATAACCAATGTTCATAAGTGTGCAAGAATGTCCAATAATGTGAGAAACCTTGAGGAGGATTATTGAGAGACGCTGTAGATCCAGGATGGAATATAGAGAGATAGATACTTTATTGATCCCCTAAACGAAATTCAGGTGTCCAGCAACAGAACGCACCCATCCATACAAACAAATAAATTCATAATTCTAAAAGTTAACAATAGTATTACAGTGCAACAGCAGTTTTGGTCACAGCAGCAGAGTGAAATTCTGACTGTTTTATTAGCATTGTTTTGTTTTTTAATATTTATATTCTGTATATACTAGGCCATTTAAATACCATTTATGTGGTGGAGCCAGTGGTGGAATTTTATGTTTTTCTGTTGCCTCTTTTCCCCGTCTGTCAATATCTAGAAGTTCAATGTTCATTTACAACTGGCTACTCACTATGGCAGCCTTTAACATCAGGCACTAGCGTTGGCCTATTGGAAAACAAAGATACTGCAAAACAAAGATCAGTGCATAACCTTCCTCACCTTTGTGTCTTTAAAGCATCCTGCACAGGAGGCCATATGCCTCCAGAGGGCGCCTATAGCAACCATATAATCCTTAAATTAAACTGCAGGCTTCAAGGCAAAATAATCTCTTATACATTACCAATTCCAAGGTTACAAATGAATTCATTAATACACACCCCAAATACAATAACACCCCAAATAAACACATGCATTTTCTCCAATTAAACTTCTGGTATTACAAAAGTGGTTTGCTGCATAGTTTTAACAGTCTACATATTTTTTCCAGCTGCTTCGTGCCCAGAGAACAGCCACTATGAGCTGTGTGCAGACACCTGTGGAAGCTCCTGTGTTGGACTCCTGAAAGCGGTGTCCTGCTCTGAGAACTGCTTTGAAGGATGCCAGTGTGACCAGGGGTTTGTGTTTGATGGGGAACAGTGTGTTTCTCCCAGCAAGTGCGGATGTCTACACAACGACAGATATCTAAAGGTGAAAAAAAACAAGACATATCATGAAATGTTTTTCACTGTGTTGCAATTGCAAAGTTAAAGCAAGAAAACATTTGAGATTTTTTTTTGCAGTGAAAATTTTACATGTTTCAATGAATCTAGTTTAGATAGGCCAGCCACCAGTCTGTTTTGGACTTCATGGATGGATAGCACTTACTTTAAGGAGCTGTAGACTGATGAAAATCCACCCCGCGGGATGTAAAAAAAAATCTCACATGGTGATATCAACAAATTTTTTACAAAAATTAGAAAACAATTGTTGGTGTTTATGTCACCATAGTGTTGGTAAAATGCAGAAGACACAGCTTTGAAGATGACGTATATTTTTTTGCTTTACTAGTCACTCATGTTATCTTTTAACATAAATTGTCTTGGAGCATATGAATATCCTTATAAAAGTACTTAAACATATACTTACACCATATATGACAACACTATAGTGTTGTCATATATGGAATTGGGACTAGTAATTATGAAACTACTAGAACTCCCAGAACTGTCATCTTGACTGTTCTCATTCAATCCAGTATGTATTAAAAGTAAGTCATTTATAAGGTTTTTATTTTTACCTTTACTCACTTTCACATTAGTACTTTATCAAATGCAAACTGGTAGCAAGTAAACATTATGTTGCTATGGTAACTAGTACTCGATCTGCGAGGTAAAGGTACAATCACTCTCATTTCAAAAGTAAAAAGAACATTTCAGAAAAATAATGACATAGAAACAAACAACATATGAAGACAGAAAAGGTCAGCGTTATGAAGACCAAAAATGTACATTTGTTAAGTCATTACACCTGCAAATCTAAAAGCTGCTCTGGGAGTTCTAGTTTTACGATGCTGTCTCTTGTTTTCAGGTCGGTGAATCGGTCGTCGACCCTCAATGCCAGTCCTCATGTGTGTGTCAGGCGCCTGGAATAGTTAAATGTGAAAAGAAATTATGCGGCAGCTCTGAGGTCTGTGAGGTCCGCGACGGTGTGAGGGACTGCCACCCAACTCAAGGCCAGTGCAGCATCGACAAAGCCGCTCACCTCTCCACCTTCGACGGCTTGACGGGGCCCATGGCTGATCTCGGGGCTTTCGAGGTGGCCTCCCTGTGGAACTTCACTGATGCGCGCTGGTTCAGGGTGGTGGTGGACGTGCGCAGATGTGGGAATGGAAGTCTTGCTGTGGACGCAGTCTACGTCTTCTTTAAAAACTACAGCATCGCAGTGAATGGTCAACAGGAAGTTTGGGTATGAAAAAAAAACCTTTACAGTTTCCATGGTTTTGTTGTATCATCGTCGACCTGTACAAAGAACCTGCTCAGTACGTAGCCTAGCCTGCTCAGTATGTAGATGTGTAGTTCTAGCCTTTAGTTCCTGAATTCATGTTGAATTTTTATGTAATTTTAATAATAATAAATAGCATTGAGTCTGAAGGACATAACCAACTAGCATAAACCATCGAGCTACAAACCTCGGGGAAAGCCAAAGTATAAACTGTAACGAGTAATGTACACCACTAATCCATTAGACACAATTCCTGCATTCTCCCAGATGAAACGTTGGCATTTTGAAGGAAAACACTAAATAAGTACACACTGAGTAATCAACAATCCACTGTTAGGGTGTTTTTGTTTTCTTTTTTGCAACAATCCTCACACTGCTGGAAAAAGATGTGCAAAGGTGCCACAATTTGGAGAAGGTTGAATAATAACAATGAGAATAGTAATAATAGTAATATCTCTGACCAGGGCGCATGGAGACCGCATGGAACACGTGTGGGCTATGCACACACAGATACGTGTGTGACAGATATTGCATCACACAATTATTTATACTCATTGTCAAAATATTCCGTCACAACTTTCAAAATTAAAAGGCCTTTTACGTCTAAATGCCTGTTGCCTCGGTCAGAATTGCACTGTATTTTTAGTGGCAAAGAATAATGCACAATATTTGTTGTCCAGAGTAATAACCCCTCTGTATCCCCGTCTGTGATCAGGTGAATGGCAGAAAGACGTCCCTCCCAGTGCGACTGGGCTGTGATGTTTCCGTGCACATATCTGAGAACAGTGTGGTCATAGAGAGGACCTCAATTGTAAGCATAACCTTCTCACTCTGGCGGGAAGTCGTTGTAATCGTGGACTCCAGCCTCACGCACAAAATCTGTGGAGCCTGTGGGAACTTCAACCACGACCCAAAAGACGACCTGACCACAGCGGACGGGGAGACCGCCATGGATTTGGTCAAAGTGGTGTGGTCATGGCTTGCAGAAGACTTCTCAAGATGGTGAGTTAAGAATTATGCCATGTCCTTGTTTTGCACTAAAACATATCAAATTCATGACACAAAGAGAAGCGATCCAATAATCTAGAATAAATGCATAGCTGAAAATTCTGTAAATGCCCTTAATCACAGTCCGTACGAGAAAAACAGGGAGGTTGTTTTGAGAGAAATTATGTAACTATAGCATACTATACTTGTATTGGCATTTTTAAATATCCTTATGACCAACACTACCTAACAAAATTGAATACATATGCAAAAACAAAACAAAAATGTTTTTATTTTTTACAAACGGAAAAAAATGATGATTGTAGGTTTGTGTAAGCTTTCAGTCTCACAGGAATTATTCAAAACAAAGCAAGGTTGCTCACCCATCATCTGTAAACTGAAGTACAAATGATGGGAGAGCAACCTTCCTTTGTTTTGAACATATGTAGATATGATACAAATTGATGCATCTATGTTTGCATAATACGTATGTACTGCTGCTTTTGAGCTTGTACCAAAATATTGTAATTTGTAAAGTTGTGCCAAAACAATAATGTAAATCAATAAAAAAAAAAAAAATGAATGATGCCAAATATCAACATTAATGAAATATATATATATATATTACTCCTTGCAGATGAAAAAAATATTATATGTGCTAAAGAGGCTTCCAGGTCAACATAAATGAAGTACCTTTACTTGACGCATTTTAGAGTCTTATTTTTTTCCATTTTGGGGGAATGCAGAGGTTGAGCAGAAGAGCCGTCTGTCCTTGGATGACAGCAGTGATTGGATCGCAGGCTTGGTAGCATTTGATGGCCACGATCGTCAGCCTCGCCTGCTTTTTAATTAGTAATTACCACTGGGGATTCTCTGGCATTTCTTGATTAAATTGGACCAAATGCAATTAAAAGCCACACTCCTCATTCCTGTTTGGCTTCTGCTTTTGTGAGAAATTTGTTAAATGGTCAAATTACAATAAACTTAATGCAGATGAAGAGTCACTGTGATCATGTTGAATGAAATTTTTCAACTTTCTCCCTTAACAATGTTTATGTTGATAGAAGCATCATGAATTGTAGAAAGAGTAGAGTAATTGATTAAAAATATGAACTGTGTACTGTGTTGTCATGAACTACTGGAAGAGGCCCTTCTCTGGTCATGTATGCAGAAATGCAAATGTATTTACAGAATAGTATAGAATAGAATAAGATTGTTTATTGTCAAAAAAGAATGTCTAGTTTGGCAATAAAAGAGTGTCCTATATATAACTACTGAAACGTCAAAATAATAAGTTCATAAACTCTGCTCCAACTACCACAATGAAATACACATATTAACCACATCGCTATAAAAGCTGCAAGGTTCAAAGAATTAGTTTTAGATATATATTTGTATATTTAGCTATAAATATATATAATATATATATCTATTGTAAATGTAAAATGACAAATGATCACATTGTTATATAGTCAAATCTGAGTGCTCTATTGTGTTTATTGTGTGTATAGGAGTAAAGTTTTCCTGTGTATCAAAGACCAAAATGGAGGCTTATATTTTTGAAAAGTTAATACAAAAATATTTTTCAGTTTCAGTGTTTTCTGAATACTTATTCCCAGTACAGGCTTCCGTTACCAAGTATCACCAACACTGAAGAAATAACAAGGAGACTTATTGTTTCTTCTAATATTTAATACACACAAAGAAGCAATGAGGCTTAGATTTACACAAAAGTACAAGATATCTATTAAATAACAAAAAGAAGAAGCAGTAAAGGGAAATGTGCTCTACAGATGAGGGACTGTATTCTACAAAAGGAGTCCTTACGTCAACTTAATGTATAAAATACTTAAGTTGACGTACTTAGTTTATTTTGTTTTTAAGCAAGAACATTAGACTTTACCTTGTGTTCCGCTTTTTCTTCACAGTGGCCTCTAGAGCTGACACGCTGAGAAAACATTTCGTTTAGGTAATAACTCATTTAATTTAGCCATTTAGTCTTTTGATGATAATATATAACCATGTTTTTTATGTCTTTAAAGCAGTGCAAAGGACCATGAAGGCTCTGTCATGAAGGTCATGAAGGCTCTGGTGAAGGTGCTTCTGCTCACTTTGGTCTTGGGACTTTCACTGCCTTATATTGGACCAACAGCTTCATCTTGTGGTGAAGAGATGTATTATCCACATTAATTTTACTGGAAGTTAAATAAAATTGTGTATACAATTGTTTGGTATTTCTCCGTTATTCAAAAATAAAGAACACATTATCTCCTTTAATATGTATCGTTTTCATAATTTCAAATGGTTGGAAAGGCTTTGTACCTGGGTTTTTTTCTTTATAAGCTGCTCTTTCCTTGATGTTGTTTTAGCTCAGAAATAGAGCTAATTAGACTCCACCAGAGTTAGACTGAGATAAAATGGCCCTGAAAGAACATGTTTATGCTTCCAGTTTTAACAACCCTACTTCCTCATTCCTTCTTAGACTTTAAAATCTATTAAAATCTGACTGAACAATATAATAAATGGCATGTAATTAGTTCCTTGCTCTCTAAACTGTTTGATTCTATAATTTCCACATGTAGTGAAAATGAGCCCTCACACATGTCTCAGTAAAGCCAAGGTAAAGTCAGATTTTGTCGTTTGATTAGCAAGATATTCTCTAAACAAGACTTTGTAGGAATGAACAAAATATCAAATAAATTAAAGCGCTATAAATATTTGTGTTATAAGCTGGAGTGAGGTGTAATGGATTGCCCTGAGTTTAAAAAGGGCCCCCGATTCCCCACACCACAGAAAGGGGATTTGCTAATGACATACTCACTGAACCACTCTCGAGGTATAACATTAGGCTATTTACCTGCATGCAAAAGCCAGATCCTGACAGATCGGAGAAGCTGCGCAAGGCAGGACCTGGTTAACAATGTGATGGGAGGCCTCTGGGAACACCAGTTGTCACAGTGGTAGTGAAAGAATTATGACATGAAGCATCTTTTTTGTGTCCTGAGAAGCGCTATATAAAACCGATGCATTATTACCCAGTTCCAAATCCATACCATACAAGCTATTGTGTAGC